CACAGAGCTCTGAAACCCTTGTAATTTCCTAAGTGGCGAGAGCACTAGGAGCATCTTTTGTTCTAATATCCTGGACCCTGACCCAGCTCCTAAATCTTGTGGAATTTTCTGGGTGATAGAGTTTTACGTCATAATGAGGCTACTCCTGGTGGGCTCCTGGACTCAGGGGAGCCAGTCCCCAGAAATACTAAGCCACGAGTAGAAGCTTAGAACTTGCAGCTCCACTTCCTGTCCTCCAGGAAGGACGGAGGGCCTGGAGATTGAGTTAATGATCAATCATTGATCATCATGATGAAGCCTTCACAAAAATCCAAAAAGCAAGGGTTTGAAGACCTTCTGGGCTGCTGAGCACTTGGAAGAGCTGGGAGGGTGGTGTGTCTGGGGAGGCCGTGGGAGCTCCTCATGCTCTGCCCTTTGTGTCTCTTTATCTGGGCAGTTCACTGGTATCTGTTATATCCTTTGTAATAAACCAGTCATCACAAGTGTTTTCCTAAGTTCAGTGAGTCATTCTAACAAATTATCAAACCCAAGAAGGGGGTTATAAGAACCCTTCTGACTGGTCGGTCGGGAGTGACGATCTGACTTAGTGACAGGCATCTGAAGTCAGGGGCAGTCCTGTAGGACCAGATGCCGACTGTCGGTAGACAGTGTCAGAACCGAATCGGATTTTGGAATAGTCAGTTGGTTGGGAAAATCTACACGTCTGGTGTCAGAGTGAAGCAAATGCAGTGTGAGAGTAAAGGAAAATGGGAATTTGTCCTCAGACATCAAATAGTGTAAAAATGTGTTCTGTAGAATCCTTTTTTTCCTATATAATTTGTTGTGAGATCCAGGTAAAATAAAATATAGTCTTTTATCATTTGCTTCTATTCCTATCTTCTGGATCAATTCTTCATTTTTTCTTCTAAAATGCTGCACGCCACACATGAGGCAATGGAGATTTTTTTCACACCTCAGTTAAGGACTTGAACATTCATCTGCAAGCACCTGTCCTCCTTAGATGTAGTCATGCTCCTAGTGATTTTCTCACAGCCATCCATCCACGACAAGGTTTTGGAAAACATGTGTCACAACTGCCTTCATAACCCTTCAGAACTCATAGGCCTGTGGAGCCTCGAATTTCCCAGCGAGAGGCAGCAGGGGCTTCCCTCCCTTGGCAGCCATGCAGAAAAAAAGCAAAATCCTTTTTAAAAAAAAGATATTTATTTTTTAGAGAGGAGAGGGAGGGAGAAAGAGATGGAAAGAAACATCAATGTGTGGTTGCCTCTCATGGACCCACACTGGGGACCTGGTCTACAACTCAGGCATGTGCACTGACTAGGAATCAAACCTGTGACCATTTGGTTTGTAGGCTTGCACTCAATCCACTGAGCCACACCAGCCAGGGCAGCAGAATCCTTTCTGATTCAATAAAATTCAATAGAAAATGTTAATAGGTTTTATTTAAAGTCATTTATTGAGCTCAGTTAACACTTCCACGGTAACCTATACTAGCAGTTGGCAGACTTTTTCCATAAAGGACCAGACAGTGAATACTTTCAGCTTTGCTGGCCATGTGGTATCTGCTGCAAATACGTATTCAACTCTGCCATTGTAGGTCCCTGGAGCCGTAGACAATATGTAAATGATGGGTGTGGCTGTGTCTCAATATGAGTTTATTTAAGACTACTGAAACTAGCATTTCATATAATTTTCATGTCATAAAAATTTATTCTTTTTTTTGATTTTTCAACGACAAAAACATTAAAACCTTTCTTAGCTGCAGGACCAACAAAGACAGCCGGATTTGGGCTGTGGGCCAATGTGATTTCGCTGCCTCTGCTCTTTACGGATTTTTTGTTTGCACTGAGGTTTTTGTTTTTATTGTTGACACTATCGCAGATGTCCCCCACTTCCCCTCCCTGCACTGAGGTCTTTACAGCTTATTTAGGCCCAATGAATTGTACAGTGTGTGAAACATCTCGACTTTTCTTTAGAATGTCAAGTCCTACCCCTGTTTGAATAGTGAAAGGACAGACCAGAAAGCAGAATCTTCATCAGGCTAACAAGCTATTAGTCTTTAAAGATTCTTTAAAGATCTCTTAAGATAGAACTACACATGGCACTTTAATTAACAGCCTGGCAATAATTATCTTTCAATAGCTCTTTTTGAAGCCCCTCACACTTCCGGTCACAAATGAGGCATGATCTTATCCTCTTTGCCCCCAAATTCATTCGCAGTTTTTCTACTTAATCATATTTTAACTTTATCTTTATCAGTGTTGAACTGTTCTAGTGCATGGACAGTGCTTTTGTAACAACTTCATTAAATAGCTAGGGTTTGTTGTTGTTGCTTTTAAGATGAAACTTGACTCAATTCATGTGACTTATGTTGCAACTGTGAGAGTTTGGTGAGTCAGTGTTACTTCATGAGTAGCTTTCATTAAACTTCAAATTGGTTGGAAACTTGGAGGATGGGAGCGAAGCGATATTCTTCGATTGAAATGTATTCCCTGTTCAGCAGAGAGCTGGGCTCTGTGGACACACAAACCACTCTGCCTTTGAGGACCTTATAGTTCGGTGGAGGAGACAAAATGAACGTACGAGAAACCATAATGCATTTATTAATTAATTCATTGAGAACTCCCATTTGCTACAAGTCACTGTACTATACATGACGCCATTTTTGTCCTAATGTAGAGGAGGGAAATATTCTTTATAAAAAATTTTTATATTGAATTTTGGAGAGAGGAAGAGGAAGGGAGTCAAAGTGAGAGAGAGAAACACTGATTAGTCGTTCCACCTATTTATGCATTCATTGGTTGGTTCTCATGTGTGTACTGACTGGGCATCAAACCCACAAACTTGGGTGTATTGAGTGGACACTCTAACCAACAGAGTTACTCTGTCACGGCAAAGAATTCTTTCTCCTACCACCCACCTAGGTTCTCGGGCTGGAGGGATTGACAGAGCTCAGATTAACAGGAGAAAAGTATACAGATTTACTTAACACAATTTTATGTGACCCCCCCCCCCCAAATGATTGAACCTGAGTGTTTTTATACTAGTGGCAAGTTGTGAAAATACACAGCAAGACGAAAGGGTATGTATGAACCAAGGGTTGTAAACTGGGGGAAACTCAACAAAGACTGTTCATTCAAATTCTTCTCAGCATCTCTCTGTCTTTGGAGGTAAAGATGTTGTCTTAGTGCAAGTACAAGGAGGGCACTTCTCACAAAAGTATCTTATGACCTGCTTTAAGCAAGATGGGGGAGCTCTCAAAGTTTTCCATTTAACATATTCAATACACCAAAGTGCCGTGTTTCAGGGTGGTGTGGTCTGAGTCCTGTCACTTGCAACGATGACCTGGGGTAGATGCTGCAAGCCTTCCCCAGGTGAGGAAAATGAGGCTGTGAGAAATCAAATTGCTCAAAGTGGGAAGTCAAAGTGACTGCCTGGCCCCAGAGTAAATTCTTTCCCTATCTCCCACTCAGATTATTGAATCCAACCCCTTTCACTAAAGACATGAACAGTTAACATGGGAAAAATAACTTATTTACTTCTAACTTAATGACCTACGATAATGGTGATTGTTAGAATCGGTATAATGAGAATAACGTGCACTGGCAAAAAGGCCATACTGACGTTTGCGCCAGGCAACCTGACCGGCAAGGCTGTGTTTTGTATGGCACGCAGTGCTGTAAAGGAAATAGATTCAAAGTAAAATTTAAAACATTTAATCTAGCCCTGGCTGGTGTAGCTCAGTGGATTGAGCGTGGGCCTGAGAAGCAGAGGATCGCGTTTCGATTCCCAGTCAGGGCACATGCCTGGGTTGCAGGCCAGGTCCCCAGTGGGGGACAAGGGAGAGGCAACCACACATTGATGATTCTCTCCCTCTCTCCTTCCTTTCCCCTCTAAAGATAATAAAAAATCTTTTAAAAAATTTAATCTAAATTTAATTTTAGTTTTTTAAAAAAAGTACAGTGCTAGAACCTATTGAGGAAGGCAGGCATGTATGATTTGATGCCTGTCACGTTTGCAGATATCATTTAAGTCAGTCCCCAGAAGACATGACAAAACACCTCTAAAGGTTCTTTCTGGAAGAATGGGAAGAAGCCAGAAGGTATCCTACTGAGATTTTAAGTGTTAGCTCCTTTCATTGAGGCCCTTGCTGGTCAGCAACAACAGTGCTATCTATGGGTCAAAGCCAAGTTGCCACCAAGGTGTTTAATTGGCCCACCTGGTGTTACTCGGTAAAACTCCTAGAAGTTAGAATGAAGGGTGCTGAGAGCATTATCATCCCCTAAGGAGCTTTGTCAAGAGACGCGGTAAGGTTAGGAAATGACAACTTTGGTTCAGAGAGAACAGGGAGAAAGAGAACCCAGCCTAGGGTGGCCAGCAAAATAATGAAGTCATCAAGATTATGTTACTAGAATGTTGTGATTACTGCTCACATAAAACGCAGTGCTTAGGCTATTTTTTAAAATAAATCTATTGGGTGTGAGTATATGAGAACTCTCTGTACCCTCTTTGCAAATTTTCTGTAAGTCTAACCTTCCAAAATAAAGTTTAAAAAAGTCTTTTAACGACACCTGGACAATTTCTCACCTCCTTTAGCGTGGAGGTGGGAAGCAACTCCCTTCCCCAACAGTGCTTTGTGCAGCTTCATCAAATCCTACCAGCCTTTACTGGCAGAAATAAAAACACAGGGTTAACCCTGAGAAGTTAACCACCCCACGTGTAAACCTCAGCCCCAGTATTTGTTCTCACATAGAAACAAATTTTAATTTCAATTCTATTGACATTGTTAGTATAATAAACCTTTTTGCAGTCCATCTGTAAAATATAGACTATTAAAATTGCATTATTTACATTTTAAACTGAGGCATTGTCATAACAAGGAAAGGGACGAAGTTGTGGCAGAAACTTCTAAAGTCTTATATATGTAAAGTTGAAGTATCCCTTCCCATTGACTTCTCTTTCTCTATCTGAACCTAAAAAAAAATAAAGTCTTTACAGGGGTATGCAACTTTTCCAATAAACGATTTACAGACATACCTTCGATAAGGGGAGATGGACACTGGCTTGCTGTAGCCCAGCTGCTTTACAGATGCTGTCTCACTTAGTCTTCGCAAAAGGGCCCGACAGTGTGGGAGGTTTTACTGGCCCTCCATTCACCTGTGAGGAAACAGTGATTCTGAGACACCAATGAACCTTTTCCAGATTGGCAGCTAGTAGTAAACTGGAGGCAAGTGTTGATCCCAGGTCCAACAGATGCCCAAGCCTTTTGTCACCATGCAACAAGGTTTAGCAAGAAACGTAAAACCTCTTCTCCACTCGTTTAAAACACAGGGTCTGGCAAAAGTGAGGCCTGCTTGAGTGTGGTTGGTAGGGCAATAATAACATGGGTGTCATAGTTTGTAGTTTTAATTTGAACATTTCACCTAAAATGTCATGCTTGAGTGTGCTTGAGTGTGATTTGTTATGTTACAGAATTACATGCTTATGACTTTGTAATAAAAGATTTTATAATAAAAAGGGGCATTATGTTGCACTGGACCTCGCGTGTTCTTCCTGTGATACCTACACTGGGATTCCATATGTCAGTATCACGCTGAATTTATTTGCTAGGTTAGAGAATGGCATAGCAAACTAGAGAGAAAGTTTTTAATTCTCCTTACATCTTATTACTGGATTAGCCAAGAAATAATTCTGGAACAGACCAGCAATGCCAAGTATGTTCCACAGGACATTAATGCAAAGATGTTTCTTGGGGGAGAAAAAAGCCTTTCTTGGTGAAAGAAGTTTGAGAAATTTGACATACTGTCCCCACTAGGATATTAATAGTGAACATTAGTTTATTTAGTAAAGACTGAAAAGTCCTGCGGTCAAAATTCCGTTTAACTGTGTTTCACTTAAAAACAAATTCTTCTTTAAACTTAAGTGATTGCTAATTTTAATGCTATGCGGCATTTCTCAAGGTGTGGCATGTGAGGGATACACATTAGTATTACCCAGGATACAGGCTAACGGTGGGCATTTCCGGGCCCTGCGCAGCCTCAGATGGACTGGACGCCGGGGAAGGGTCTGGAAGTCTCATTTAACCAGCTCCCCACGTGACTCTATGTACAGTCACGCACGAAAGAACGCTCGGCATCTTTCAGTTCTTCATTCGCACTTCCACGTGCTCTCCTGTAGCTGCCACCGAGAGCCCTCGGAATCAGTCACTTCACTTTAATGGAGCTTCGTGGGCAGCCTGAACTCCAGATTGTCAGGGGAAGTAACAGTTTCCAGATTAGAAACGTAAATAATATCAGTCACAGGGCTTAAAAATTACAGATCACTTTTAAATGCACATAGCCACGATTCCTTTCTTTTGGCCTCCCGTTGTTTTAGGTGGCTCCTCCGAGAGTTGCATTACCTAGCCAGCTGGAAGCTTTCAACACTTAATAGTGCTGTTGATGATGTAAATGTTTTCCCTCTGCCCCTTTCCTTTCATTTTCCTTCCTCTTTGGTTTCTTTTTTTCCTCTCTGGTATGAAAATGCCAGAAAGTGATGTACTAAAATGTTAATAGTGGCTGTCTTTAGTTCATGGAGTTGCGAATAGGTGCTTTTCTCCCTGCACCACCCCTTCACTTTGAATTTTCAGATTTGCCAATGTCAAGTCAGTCAGTAAACTTGAAACCGTGTGTATGTTAGCAGACATCTGTTGGGGGGACACCACGAGCCATCGGCTACCTTAACAGGGGGGAGAGTAGGATATGATGTTATATTATATATCTCAGTGCTCCTTCCCTGTTAGGCATACTTTTTAAAAACAGTTTTTTAAAAACCGTTCCTCTAGATTTAGTTTCCCTTCTGCCCTGTTTTTCTCTTTTTCCTTCCGATCCTATCTCGTCCCACCAACTGTGAATTCTGTGTTAGGGAAGCAACTGATGACATTACTGGAATGAAAGGGCCACTGTCTGGTCTTGCTCTGTGAGTACAAACCGCCCCGCGGTTCTGTATGGCCTCTTTCTCCTGGAGAGCTGAGATTCCTCCTTGTAATTCCACTGCTATTTTTAACATCCCTGCAGGAGAAAGGCAGGCCCTGAATCTCTGAGCCGGTCACAAGTTTTCTAAATCTCCATTTCCTCTGGAGCAAATAACACAGAGCCCGAAGAGATCACTTGTTGTTTAGAAAGTGGTTTGTATAATAATTTCTTCCCATACTCTTAAACTAGGCAGGCCTTTTGGTAATAAAAGGCCACAGGGAAAGCAGGATTCCACGTGCATATTAATTTGCGTTGGGCAAGGACCTTACAGTCCTCGTATCCTGTGCAGCAACACTGTACTTTGTCCTCTAAGCATGAATGAAGAAAGCCCCAGACAGCGCACAGCCTCGCACATCCGGCGGAGGGAAAGGAAGCCTCGGGCCCAGACACTCCAGGCACTCGGTCCCCTGGGCGACGCGGCCTTGATCATTTCCCTCATTACTCTGAAGACTAATTTTTCAGTCTGTACTTGAAACCCGCCTATAATTGTCCACTGAGCATAGAGGAAGAAGCTAAATCAGCCCCTGGAGAAGGCACCGCTGAGCCGGCTGGGCTGCGGCGACTGTGTCCGCTGCGCTCCTCTCTCCAGTGGGGAGACGAAGTTTGGATACACACGCAGCGCTCATTTTTAGGTACAGGAGGATCATTTTAGCTATCTCAAGTCTGGGTTTTCCTGAGAAACGTGAAAATCTCCTTTAAATATTTTTAACTAGTACTAACAGCAGAAGTCTCTCGACTCCCCAGAAAAACGGGAAAATAATTTTAGGACTTTTTACAATGATAAATGGCCACGGAGGTACATTCAAATTTATTGTTATCGGTACTGTTTGGGACTCACCCTCCATAAAGCTACTGAGTGGAGACTTTAACCACGCTCGAGCTCAATTTTCTTTTGATTTGGGGTTACTCTGACATTAGAGACTAAACATAGGCCCATGGCTGAGATTTCAGTGAGACAAAGAGTATAAGAAGTTTTTTTTTTTTATCAGGGTTTTAGGCTGATAGAAATATTTTAACTTGAATTGCACAGTATACATACAAACCAAAGCAAATAAGCAAATAGATTTGGAACCTCACTATGTGCTACACATAAGAAAAAACCTACCCAAGACCAGGTTCTCTAGTCAATAGAAGCCTGTGTGCTGACTTTTTTTTTTTTTTTAAAGCGAGAACTTAAAAAAAAAAGTAGCCTAGTGAACATTCTAGTGAGTGTTCTAAAATGACCACTGATGTCCCGGAGGTCACTGGGGCAGACAGGCGTGCATGAAAAGTAGCATTTTTGTATGATATTAATAGGCCTGCTACACCCTTCCACCCTCAGAAGAGCGGGTTTCTGGACACCTCAGCCTTGAGGGTACCTAGGTGAGCTCAGTGACTGCTCTGCTCAAGGAAGCTGTGGGGAAAGGGGAGCCGCCACCCCTGGGTGGGGTACAGAGCAGCACCGGGGGTCCACCTGGAGCAGCTCGCCTCTGTGGAAGACAGAGGTTGATCTATTCTCTGTCTTTTTCTTTCTACACTAGTTATGACCTCTGCTATCACAGTTTTGTTCTTTTTCCATCCCCACTCCAACCCTTCCTACTCACTACGCAAAAACAGCAAAGGGGCAATGCTACAAGTCCTGGGCTGAGGTGGGCAGCGGGCTGTTGGCTGGAGACCGAGCAGCTGGAGGTAGGACTGCTCTCGTGTTTCTATCTGATTAGAGAACCAAAAGGCAAGTTTCCAACATCCAGCCTTGTATGTTTATTCTCCAAGTTCTTTTCAAAGTGATTAGCAAACACTGTTGGCTTAGTTTTGTTAGCAGGCCTTTAAAAAAAGTTTTTTATTTATTGATGAGAGGGGAGAGAGAGAGAAACATTGATTTGTTATTTTGACATGAACCAGTGGCCATTTGGGGTGAGACTGCTTTGTCAGTGGATAAAAATGGAGAGAATCAGGCAGTCAAAGGTTCAATGAGAGATAGACCAGTTTCTAGAATTTTCTACCTCTCTTCTTCTTCAAGAATTGCTAATCACCACTTCTTATAACCATAATAGAAACCAGAAATGTTACTTACAAAAAAATTTAAAAAGCCAAATCCAAAAGAGTCTCATTGTTTTTCTTCAAAGTCTCCTCCCAAATCCAGTTTCTGGGATAAAAATAATTGAGCAATTCCCCTTCCTCCTGCCCAATTTCTAATCCTACTTTTGTCATTGAAGTGGGCAAAGTCCAACTTTATCTGTCATAATTATAGCTCTATTATTTTCTGAGCAAAGTTTAAAATATTTTACAATAAACAGAAAGTCAACTTCAAATAGTTATGTATGAAAACCTCAGGAAACATCCTAATCCCACTGCTTCATCCCCTCGGTCCTCCTGATACCTGTGGTATTTCAGATGGAAATATTCGACAACTAAATGTCATGCTAATAGCTCAAGTTTTACCCCTAAAGTCTAGAATTTCCTAAACTGTGGAAGCCTTTAACTTTCTAACCACCGACCCCAGACTTTTCACAAATGCCCCTTTGTAACTGGAAAACTATCATTACTACTTGGAACGTAATAATGTCCACAGTATTTTTCTTGGCTACTAGAAATTTTTAGAGGAATTCTTTGAGCTTATCTAACAATGCCCGAGCACATGCAGTCACCGGGGACCGATCCGGGCCTGCGTGGGAACGTTCGTGGGCAGCAACCCCACAGGTCTTTCCAGGAGGTAGACAGAGAAAGGGCAGGCAAAGAATGGATCCGTTTCCCCCACCACGGCCTACTGACTCTGCCCCAGACAAACGGATCTCATTTCCACTTGCACTGATTTTTATTTTTCTTTGAGGGGTTGTATAATGCAAGAAAGGACTTAGAGTTCTGCTCCTAGACCTTGTAGTTTTGGGAATTAAGTATCAATTCTCTGACGTTCCCCTCTATGATTATGTAAAAAGTATTAGGTATTTTCCTATTTTATTTGTCCATGAAGAATTGATACAGGCTAGTAAGCCAGGACAAGTGGAATAGGGACGCTGAGACAGCTAGTTAAATGGCCAAGCGGTGTACAGCGATCTAGTAAATTGCAAAGTCTTATCGGCCCTGACCGAGAACACTTAGGAGTAAGTGGTTTACATTATCCTCCCCAACCAGAGTGTAAATAGCTTTAATCATTCTACTCAGGGAGATGGATAGCAGAAATCCAATTATTGCCAGTTGCCAACCATACCCAAGGACAGATGAAGTTAAGGGAGTAAATGTCACTGTGGTGCCAGTGTAAAGCTGATGAATATTATATTGAGATCCTCCTCTAAGACCTCTACTAAACTCCCAGCCTTTAACAACCTTCAGCCCTGGTCCGGTAGCTCAGTTGGTTAGAGTGTTGTCCTGATACTTTAAGGTTTCAGGTTTGGCCTCGGTCAGAGCACATGTAAGAATCACCCAATGAATGTATAAATAAGTGGAACAACAAAATTGACGTTTCTCTCCCCCTCTCTCCCTTCCTCTCTCTCTAAGTCAATAAATATAAAATAAACAAGTAAATATCAATCATTAAATTTTTAAAAATTAAAAAAAAAGTAAATAAAACCCCTCGAAATAAGGAGCCAGCCTGCACTCTCCCTCCCAGGACCATGCCCACACCTTCCCTTCCCCCACTTCTTCCCCGCACAGGAGTGCATTTCCTAAACTCTAAGGGACCCCAGGAGACTCACAACCAAGAGAGCAATGGGCAGTGGCGGCTCATCCTGGGATAAGCCCCTGAGCCTGTCTCCTAGGCCCCCTTTTCTCTGACTTTTCAGTGAGCCAAAGTAGCCCTACCTAAGCACTCTCCTGTTACTTCTTCTATCCTAAGCTTGTTCTTATTTCAGCACCTGTAACTTTTAATAAATGTGCTCTGAAGTCACCTGGACACGTGTGAAATCTTTTCTGTACGAAGTCAAGAACCAGATGCCACAGCCCAGCCCTGGGCAGACCTGCTCTGGGCTTGGTCCCTCTGGTAACAGCCTGGCTACAGAAGTATCATAGAACAGAATGGGTTGATCTCATTTGCGATCTTAAACTTAATTTAGTTCAATCAATACTGCTCATCCACCTCCCACATTCTGTTCAGTCGATTGCCCAGCTTATTTTGGAATGTCTCTGTTAACAAGGAGCCCACTCCTGCCTGTAGGAATCCATCCCATCTTGCAAAGAACATTGATTCAGTCTTTTGGGTCTCTTGACAACAAATGTAATAATTTTTCACCATGACTACCACCTTCCTCTCCACACCGTCAGATACATCACTGAATTTCAGATACATAACATCACTCCTTTTTTCTAACTGACAAACAGCCATAGAAGGAAATGCAGTATGTCTCACCGAATCATGAGGCCCACATGACTGCTGCTCTTTCCAGTGTGTTGCAATCCATCCCTTTCAGTCATTCTAAATCTTCTTGAGAACCCCAGTCAAGTTCACTGGTGCTGATGATTATTTGACGATGGTAGTGCAAGAGGAGAGGGTGCCTTCCTAAAGGTAGAAAATGAGATTCTGAGGAGAGAGGTTGCTGGCTTGAGAAATAGTAAATGGCTGAGAACCCAGAACTGGGTGTCCACCTCTAAAGTTTGTGTTGAAGAGAAGGGTGGACAACTATGGTGCACCAGCCAATCCCAGCCTATTGCTGGTTCTTGTACTACCCTTGAGGTAGAAAGGGTTTTTCAGTTTTAAGGAGTAGGGGAAAAAATCAAAAGAGTGAAATTTCCTAACATGTGAACATTCTATAAAATTCACATGTCACAGTCCACAAGTAAAGTTTTATTGGAGCATGGTCACACTCATTCGGTTACGTGTTGTCCACCTGATTTTAAGCTACAATGATAGAATCAAGTGGCTGGACAGAGAGCCTATTGCCCACAAAGCCTACAAGTTTACTGTCCATCCCTTTACAGAAAGTCTGCTGACTCACAGCTTTGCTGCTCAAAGTGTGGTCTGTAGACCAGCAAGGGACATCATCTGGGAATTTGTTTGAAAGTCACAGTCTTGGCCCTGGCTGGGTGCTCAGGTGGTCGGAGCATCATCCCGATACACCAAGGTTGTGTCCCTCGGTCAGGGCACATGCAAGAATCAACCAATGAGTGCATGGATAAGTGGAACAACCAATCAGTGTTGCACTCTCTCTCTCCCTTCCTCTCTCTCTCAAAGATGGATAAATTAAAAAAAAAAAAAGCACGTTTCAGGCCCCACCCTATATGTGCTGAATCCAGATCTTTATTTCAGCAACATCTCTTTGTACTCACATTCAAGTATAAGAAGTATTGTTATGCTATTGGGCTGTTTTAGTTGAAGGGTTGGAGGAGAGCAAGTCCAACAACTAGGACATTGGGTGGCTTGAAGATTAGAAGACAGTGTGTGTGTGTGGGGGAGGAGGGACAGTGTCCACAGACATTTAAAGAATGTCTGCCACTTAAGCTCATAGGCAGTCATGCATTCCTGTCCCAGGCCTCTGGGATTCCTGCATCTAAATCTGCAGATAGCAGGCTATAGGCAAGTGAACATACAAATCTGCACTGCTTACTATTAAAGTGTGTTTTGCCAAGGCATTTTGAAAAAGGCTGATCAACAGTAGGATAAGCAAACTAGCCAGTATCCAACTCCACTTCTAGCCTGCACCTGTGATTTGCAGACAGGAAAGGGGCTTCCTGACAAGCAGAAGCACTTACTCTAGCAGAAATTGGTCTGAAGCTCTGCTGTAGAGAAGCTCGAGAGATAGTAGTTCAAATATTTTGCTAAAGCATTTTTGCAAATGCTAGCCTACTGAATAAGATGGTGTGGCTTGCAGTCCTCCTTCCACAGATACTCTGCCAGGAAAAGTGTGCCATTCCACCACTTTCTCATTTCCTTTTCATTCATTAGTCAGATTCAAGGAAGAGTTTAGTGCTCTCTAATTTGAAACCATGCTGGAGTTTACAATGTTACTCTTATTACATGCCATTAAGCATCTAAAAATAGAAAATGTTTCTATTCTCTAGGGCTATAGTCCTAACTTACTACTAGAAGGTGACTACATATTTAAGGACAATTTTGCATTTGCTCAACCAGTGGAGAATGTGCTAGGCCCCAAGATACATAAATAAATAAGATAGAACAAAAGGGTCTGAATTCAAGAAGTTGACAGTCTAAAATAAAGTAAAACAAAACAGAACAAAAAAGAAGTTGACAGTCTGTGGGAAAGATAGACATGTAAAATAAACAACAAAACATTTTGGATTACCATAGAGATTAAATAGACATACATTATCTTTCCTAGCATTTCCACTAAGATTCATTTGCTTCATTTTCTGTTTTGGTAAAAAATGCTTATTATTTTTGTTAGTGTTATTAGTATATAAAATTTATTTAAATTTTTATTTTAAAATATGTATTTATTTATACACATATGTTTTTAATTTTTTTATTATGGAAAAGTTCAAACATGCAAAAGTAGAAGGAATGGGAGAATAATCTAATTCTTCCCCAACCCCCAGCACCCCCTGTACTCACCCATCAGATGCAGCTGTTAACAATGCACAGCCAGTTTCTTGTTTCATCTTGTCCCCACCTACTTACCCCTCTCCTGTGGAAGTATTTTGAAGCTCATGCCAGGCATTCTAACATTTTGTGGAAAAGTGATGTTCCTTTGAGTGAGGTTTTGAAGGATGCCCAGGACTTCACTGCACTGTTGTAAAGAGGACAGGGAGACCTCAAGTGGAGGGATGGGCACCAGCTCCCCCAGGAAGGCAAGGAAGTATAAGCCATACGTCCACATGGGGTCTGGCTTGAGGGAAAAGTTTTACAGGTATTTGTGGGAAATAAGGTTGAAAGGGGAGTTAAGCTAAAAGGTAAGCTCCATGAGGGCAAGACCGTGCTTGTACTTATCATCCTTGGATGAACTCCCTTAGGTCCCCAAGTGTCTGGAGGAGAGTAGAGCTCAAAGGCTGTGGAGAGAATGAATCCATGAAAGTGGGGGTAGACCATGGTGGCCTTAGAACGCCAGGGTCTTGTACTTTTTTTCTCGGGCTATTGAATCAGTTTAATTTAACTAATCGGGGAGCTGGATTGTTCATGATTAAATGGTGTTTGTGTGTGTGTGTGGGGGGGAGGGCTCCAGGCTGCAGAGCAACCCTGTCCACCATGGGTGAGAATAAGTCTACCAAGACATGATCTGCTTGGAGAGGAAAGGCGACCGATCTCTCAAAGGAGAAGAACCAGGAACCTGTTCCTCAGTGGGCTTCTATTGGGTTCAGTTTGCATAGGAATACAGGTAAAGCTCATCAATCATTGTCAGGCAGTAAGAATTAAACAATAAATAACAAACAAAGAAGTATGAGGGTTTATTCTGAGTCAGGGTTAGTTAGCTAAAGGGCTGTAAAATTTTGGGGAACAAACTCAGTTCTTGCTTGGGCCCTTATCAGAAAACTGACATTCTTAGCAAAGCAGGTTTCACAGGATTTTATGCATTCTTTCTTAGGCCCGATTGCCCCAAGGAACCAACCCTTTCCTGCCCAGGGCTGTTCCACCCTCTATCATTGTTTAGGCTTAAATTAGGCAGGGGAAGTAAGGCAGCCAAGAGATTAGGAGACTTCTCGCAGACAGAATGAGAACTCAGGCTACATCGAAGCCGAGGAGCAAGGGTCCATCATCCCCTTTTTGCTATACCCACCCCCCAAGTCCTTCACTGAGAATCTCTTCGTGACCATACCTATCTTAAGTCATCCCTCCTTTGAGGAATCTTACACGTCATTGGCTAACCAGTCATCTACCCGGGGCCAAGCAGGGTGAAGTAAAGGGTGCAGAGGTGGTGCCCTTGCCAGGGAGTTAAGCTTTGTCTCCTTAGTGGCTTATGGTCCCAAGGTCTCTTTACTGAGCCTTAGCCATGGGGGTTACAGCTTCTGAAACCAGGCAGGGCGGTTCCTAACACTTGTGGAAGTTGGGCTTAAACAGAAACAGACATACATTATGTCGTACATTTGCTGAGTCCCACATGGGGATTGCCCTGCAGGGCCTCAGCAATGACAACCTGACCCAACGCAGCACCTCACAGCCGAGCCTGCAGAAATCGTGACCCTCACCAAGACATTTTAAAAACTTTAAAAATAATAATAATTTCTGATTTTTATTTTTAACATTTTATTTATTGATTGAATTTGAAGAGAGAGAAACAGCAAATTATTGATTTGTTGTTACATTTATTTATGTATGCATTGGGTGACACTTGCACGTGCCCTGACCAGAGGTTGAACCTGCAACCTTGGTGTATCGGGACCATGCTCTAACCAACTGAGCTACCCAGTCAGGGCTAATTTCTGATTTTTATAAACCTCTTTCACAGCATCAACCTCAGGATACAGTAGTCAAATAAAACATAAAAAAAAATTGCCCTGGCTGAATAGCTCAGTTGGTTAGAGCGTTGTCCTGATACGCCTGCCAAGTTTTCGGGTTTGATCCCCGTCAGGGCACATAGAAGAACCCATCAATGAATGTATAAGTAGGTGGAAAAACAAATTGATGTTTCTCTCCCTCTCTCTTTCTCTCTCTCTCTCTAAAGTCAATAAAAATAAGTAAATCATACAAATATTTGAAGTGCTGTATGGATGTAGCCCACAGCAACATTTCTACAGGATATTTTAACATATCAGCTATGATTGCTTTGCGTAATTCGGTTTCCTGTTACCTTGAGGGAACCAGGGCAACACATGGTCCAGGCAGACCCCCCAGGGTTACCAGCAGAGGGAGCTTCACGTGGGGTCCCCAGCCTGCTCTGGGCTTGCAGGATGGAGTCTTTGTGCTCAGCTTGCTTTGTGGCAATTTGAAGTTGTGTAAGAGAGCAGGGTACAAAGTGCACATGCAAGGCTTTAGTTTGCCTTTATTTGGTCTGTTACACATTTTATGTGGAAATTGCTTACAGGTCAGTGGCATGAGGGTAAATTGGAAGATGAATGAGTGCATTGTGACTGAGTGAGGGGAAGCTGAGCAGAGGGTGGGACAGTGGGTGGGACCGGCAGCCCTTAGACTGCCAAGGACTGTGCACTGTGGTCAACGTGGGTTCTTGCAGTGGCTGTGAACCCAGGCCAACTGGGGATGCCAGGTTCCAAATTCCACACACACCAGGGTGCCCATGAGCTGGCTCAGGGCCTTTGTTCTGCAGTTTCTGCAGGCTGCCCCCCTGCACTTTAGAGCAGCAGTTTTGATAACCTCAGGACGCCTACTCAACACCAGCAGGTCAGGTGAAAACACAGAGTGCTGGGTCCCAGAGTTTGATTCTGTTGGTCTGAGTGGGGCTCGATAATTTGCATTTTGCAAATTTCAAAGTGATGCACATTCTACTGGTCTCTGGACCACGCTTGGAGAGCCATTGCCTGAACATGATGACCGGTTAACAAGTCATGTCTTCCGAATCAGACTCGGAAACCTGATAGTCACGGAGCATGCCTCTGGGCCAGCTCTGCACACTCTCACCCTCTCCCTGCCCCGACTCCTGCCAGGCTTCAAAAGTCACTTCAGAAGAAGATATTTCCTGGTTGTTTTACACTTTACAAGTTTTCCAGTTAGTTTATGTGCATGTTGGGTATAATAGTCAAATAAGTATGTTTTTAGATATGATAATGTGTTTATAAGTGAAGAATGCCACTACTCAGAGTGTAGGATTATTTGAAAGGATTCACACTTGCAAATGGAAGATTAGGCCACTCTCCTAGCTGAGCTATCATTGGAAAGCAGGTGGTTGCATTCTGTGGGCTCCAGCTGAATTCTAGCTGTAGCTAATCTTGCTGATGCCTCTTCATTATGTAAACCTGCCCTTTTTTTTTTTTCTGGCTCCCCAGGTGTTGGTGTTTTCCCCTCTGCGTACCCTGAGGTACACATGGCTTACAGTCTCTGGAAACAGAGCCATTTGGAAAGAGCAGCAGGAGTCAGACAAGGCTTGATGAGCAAGCATGCTTTCCGCCAAGGAAGTCCCTCATCGTAGTAAAAATGACCACCTCTGCCCGGAGTTTCCTCCACTCCGGAGGCACACAGCTCCAGGGAGGGAGCAGGGCCCAGAGCGCCAGCGAGGAGGCCCAGCCCACGGAACCCACGGTCTCCCTGTTTAACCTAAATGGATCCTCAGTCACGTCCTTTTTCTTCATGTGTCTACGCATCTTACTCAACCATTTTGCTGTGAGTTCCCTAGTAACATATGAGCAAGTGACTTTAAATACAGCCTTGTTGTCTTATATACATTATTTTGTTCATTTGTTCGGTCTCAGCTATTTGTTCACTAAACATTGACTCAGTGTCAGGTGCTGTGGTGGGCACTAAAACTAACTACAAAGATGAGTAGACTGTAGTTTCAGAGCAGCAGTGGCTCTCAGGGTACTCGTGGAGACGCGACATGGGAGCAGGTAATTCCAGCAGAAGAGTATGGAAACAGAGGTGTGAAAAGCAGAAAAGAAACAGAGTATGTGCAGTGACTGAGAGAGCAAGGAGCGCTCAGAGAAGCTCCCCAGAGGAGGTGACAATGGGCTCTGGGGATGGGTAGAGACACTCTAATGTAGGCCAAAGAAATAATACGTTTAAAGGCCAGGAGATCAGAAGGAGAATGACTTACTCAGCACGGCTGCCTTGCAGGGTGTGGCAAGGGAGAGGCAGCAGATGGGACCAGAAAGGTAAGCAGGACACGACGTAAAGCAATTGTACTTGGAACCAGATATACTGGCTTTTGTCCTGGATAATATCACTTGGAGAGATTAGTTAACTATACATTTAAGGGAAGTTTCAGGAAGTGTGCAATGGCCAATTGTGGAGTTTTTAGCATATTAATTTTAATCTTAAAGACCTTTGTTTATCAGGAAACTGAAAACAAATATTCAGTTAAATATCTATCAGAAAGGGCAGTGTGGGTGACCAAAAAACTCAATACTCCGAGGATGATGGTAGATAAACCCAACTCTCTTATTTCAGTCCTACTAGTTGAATATTATGACTATAATAAGAAAAAAGACAGGAATCTTATCACAATATGATTGTTCCCATGCACCAAACAATGTGGAGACATGTCATGAGACTGATTTGTTGGATTATCAGTGTTCAGCAATTGCCATATTTTTCAAATTTGTATTTACAGTCTTGAATGTCTAGAGAAAGAGTGATGTTGTACTTGAACTTGCCTTTTCTTTTGCATTTTCAGTGCAGTGTCTTAGTCCATTCAAACTGCTCTAATGGAATACTGTGGTCTGGGCGGCTTATAAACAACTTCTATGTCTCACAGAGCTGGAGGCTGGGAAGTCCCAGATCAAGACGCTGGTAGATTTGGTGTCTGGTGAGGACCCTCCTCCTGGTTTGTAAACAGCCGTCATGTCACTGCGTCCTCACCGCAGAGGAGCTCTCTGGGGTCTCTTTATAAGGGCATGAATACCATTTGCTGCCTCTTGTCTCATGACCTAGTCCTTCCCCAAATACCTTCACTTTGGGGATTAGGTTTTAACATAGGCATTGTCGTGGGTGGGGCACAAACATTCACTCGATAGCAATATGTAAATCAATCTTAATCAAAGCACAGTTCTGCTCTGATATGTAGCTATCAGATTTTTCTTAGACACATAGAGATAGTTACAACGTTCAGAAGTTCTGTCTCATACAAAAGAGAAAGGGAGAGGAGAAAGAGTCTTGGGCAGGAGAGAAGATTCTGGTTGTTAGTGAAGGCTTAGAGAGAAATGAGAGTCTTTCAATGATATTAATTTACTTGGTTAGATTTTATGAGACATTTATTAAGATAAATTCAAGGCATCAGCCCTGAAGAGGCAACAGGGATAAGGGGGCCGAGTCCTGCCCTTAAAAACCTCAAAACCTGGGGTAATGAGAAGTTATAACGAAGTGTGATAAGTAATTTAATAGAAGTCACCTCAGAGTGTCACAGAGATACAACCACACAGCTTCTAACTCAATTTTGGGAAAAGAGGATAAGAAGAGTTGGGAGATTAAAAGAAATGTGTTCAAGAGAAGATGTTGATACGTAGGTCTTTTTAAAAATTATTATTTGAATAAATTATTGTTTTATGAAACATTTCAAACATTAAAAGCATATAGAATCATATGATGCCCATGTGACTACCATCCAGATTTAACAGATGGTACTGTGGGCGTCATGTTATTGTCTGTACTTTTCATTGTTTGAAATGCTTCACAAAACAGGAGTCGGAGCCCATACCTTTGCAATTAGATGCTATAAATGTTTTGAGGGTAATGCCCTTGATGTATAAACTGTAAATCTTAGTAAGCATTTTGGATCTGTAACCTCATCCAGCCATCACTCCAGTCTCCCACAGTGTGTGGTATGGGATTCTGAGGTCTCCTTGTGTAATTCGGGAGCCAGAGGCACAGACAGAGTAAGGTGACAGGAATAGATGCTGTAAGAACATGCAATTTAATTTGAAACACTCTATCTGCCATTTCTTCTACCGAAGCATCATACATAATAAGTAGATGGTAGCTTCTTCGTATGAAAAGTCTACCAGGGGTATTTTTTTCTTATAAAAGAAACCATTAGTGGACATTTAGAGATTGCAAGGGCTTTCACATGCATTTTAGAACACCAGCCTCAGTAAGCTCTGAGACTGATGTAATAACCCTCATTTTAGGGACTGAACCTCAGGGGTACCCTGGGACTTGCCCGCCACTGCTCCAGCATTCATCTCGCTGTATCATGTTGCCAGGTGTTCACCGACTGGTCCACGGCCTGAACTCTCGAAGGCAGAGGGAAGGGAGGCTTGATTATCTGTGGCTGCGCTTCCCCTTCCAGTCTGGGGGCTGCACGCCCTGTGCGTTTAAGTGAACAGGAAGGTCTGTTTGACTCAGAGCAGATTCGTTCACACATGGCTTGCTGCACTGTACTATGACCTGGGCTGATGAGCTAGTGTGTCTTACTCCTGTGGTGGCATTCTCTTCAGTCCATTGTCCTTGTTGCTGCTTTTCTTCAGTTAGTGGCCCTATAGCTGTCAGTGAGTGCCCTTGTCACCCTTTCTGACCTTCCAAATTCCTCGCACCGGCAGTAGGCCTAGGATACCGAATCCTATCTTTAGCACCCTGCCAGAGAAAGCTGCCATATCACAGTGGAAAGTGTGGCTTCCTGAGCTGCCACCTGGCAAAGGGCTCTTGCTTGTCCAGCTTTGGGCCAGCCCCAGAGCATATGGATTCCAGGAGAGGTGATGAAGGCCTGTGACAAATGCCTGCCCTGGCAGACAGCGAGCCCTGGCAGACAGCGAGCGCTGGCTAGCTTGAGCATGCAGTGCAGCCCCGGCTGCCCTGAGAAGGGACTTCTGTGTCCCCAGATGACGACTGCCCCTGCATTGGCCTGCCTGGTGGGCGAGGCCTTCACAAGCACCAGCACCTTTGGGGATCTTTATTTCCAATCCCCAGACCACTCACAGTATCTATGCAGAATTCCAAGGAATTAGCTGCCAACCTCGAGACGCACCCTAACAGAGGAGCCTAGGCCAGGAGAAGGCTGCAGGCCTGGACTCAAGGTTCGCTCTGATGTTGGTATGTTCTCGGAAGCTACCAAAAACGCTGAGTCAGGCTGGCTTAAATGAAAGGGAAATTTATTATTTTTCGTAACCACAGGTAGAGTGAACTCCACACCTTGTGTGATCAGTGCTTCACTGATGTCACTGAGGACACAGGGCTTTTCTCTCTCCCCATTCCTGTCATCTTCAATGTTGGTGTCACTTTTTTTTTTACTTTTTTATAAAATTTATTGGCATGATATTGGTTAATAAAATTACATAGGTTTCATGTATACAAT